TTCTGCCAGTGGTGTGGTAGTTGTAAGCGAGAAAAGGAGTGGGAGGTGACTCGTTGTCTGACTACAGACGGCGCCTAACTACTCGAAAGTTGATTGGTCGACGGGCTCGACGCCGGTTCGACACCCGCCGCTAGCTACTTTACACGCTCCCTACATCACAGTTTCTCTTCACCTAATTGTAAGATACATTTATTTCTCCTCTCTCTCTCTCTCTCTCTCTCTCTCTCTCTCTCTCTCTCTCTCTCTCTCTCTCTCTCTCTCTCTTTCTCTCTCTCTTACTTCCTTTCTCTCTGTTTTCTTTTCTAAAAGATATGTATGTACCAGTATGAAATGTGACAAGGAAATGACGATGAATATAAAAATGATACGATCTTATAATTTTTTAAAATTTTTATAAAGAAAAATTTGAAAGTATAAAAATATATTTATTTTTTAAGAGACTTCGTTTAACGTTTATTATTAGTAATCGATTAATACCTTCGTTAATATATTAAAAATATGGTACTAAAGAGATAATTATTAAAAAAAGATAAAGGATCTTTCTTTTTCTAATAATGATGTTGCATCATGTTTGTTAATAGTATAAAAGTATTGTGTATTGTACTGTACAATGACTTCTTTGCTATAAGCGATACTTGACTTTACCAACTTTTTTTGAGATATGTATGACTTTTTTAAAATAGCAATTATACATGACAAGGATACAATATGATAAATTGAAAAGAAATAACGTTTAGAGAAAAGAAAAACAAAAGAACAAAAAGGGAAAAAGAAGAAAAAAGAGAAAAAAAGGAAAAAAGATAATGAAAGACAATAGACAAGGTTCATGCAAAAATCGATACGTTAATATAAGAAGCAATTATAGACGCAAGATCTTTCTACGCCGATAATCATTATCGTTTGTTGATGATAAAACGTTTAAAAGAGATGACAAGATAAATGAGAAATTTGGTTACCTTTGAACCGTATAAAAAATCTGGCGTGGAACTAGAAAAGACGTTCAGAAAAAGGTAACGAGAAAGAATTCAAGTAAACGGTATGTCTGTGTATATATATATATATGTTAGTACTACGTTATGTAACGACAAACTACGTTGTAAAGAAGAGTGGTGGTAATGTTTGCAGGAATGCATCATACCGAGAAAACATAATAATGTACAAAAAAAATTATGTTACATCTCGACGTAATTACTTATTTTAACACATTCCTTTTCGCCAATTTAGACGTCGTATCTTTTTACAAACATGGACGCTTAATGTCTCAGAGATTAACATTGTTTAAATAACTATTAACTTTCTCCTTTATAATTTGCACGATTTTCCTTTTTTTTTTTTGTTGTAATATCATAACGTATGTACTACAAGAATGTTGTCCATAATCTGATTTATTTATTTATTTTTTATTTTCTTTTTTATTTTTGGAAACAAGTATTAAACTAATGTATAATAATAAGCCACCAGAAATTACCATAATAAATGGTATAGAAAACACGTACACGTACACGTGTTTTAACGATCTTATTATTATTACGCAATATTATAGTTATATCGATCAAGCTTAATTTTACGGTAGATAAATTCGTTTTTTAATTCTATTCTTTTATGTATCTTTACGATTTACTTACATACCTATTTATTTACATACCTATTCATTTACTTACATTATCCATTACATACACTTACATACATTCGATTTTTGTAGGAAAATTGAAATATAGCGTCAGAGTTTTTTTTTTCTAATTAAAAAAAATGAGATATTTTACTTTTTTTTTTTTTCGTTTTTCTTGAGCAATTGAAAACAATGACATTAATAGCATTATAGAGATAAAATATATAAGTTTTATCTTAAAAGCACAAACACTTGATATGGAAACTACTTGATAAGTTCCCTGGTCGCTGGATTGATCGTGGAGGGCCCATCCGATAGCTAACCAAGAACACCGGACATTACACTTTGTGACAACTTCCTTTAGGGTTTCATTAATGATCATGTATATGATACTAGAATCTTCAATCTCGATGAGAATAAGACAGAAATTCACACTGCAATTTTAGCAATTGATGCAGGCATGATTCATCGTGCAAGACTGGAGTTAAATTATTGTCTGAGCTTAACAACAGTCTTTAATATCAAATGTTCGTGACTTTAAGGTAAAACTTTGACATTGTCTCTATGAAATGTCATTAATATCATTGTTTTAATCACCAATAAAGATTTTACAACATTATAAAATTGTACAAACAATTCATAATCACTCTGTACATATAAATAATATATCGTTTGATTACATCAAAGAGGAAATGATTTTTAAGTTTTTATTTCTTTAAGTTTTTTCTCAAAGAGAATAAGATACGTTTGATCTTTGACGAGTTCTGTAACGTGCTACACAATCTAAAGGAACACTTTTTTTTCTTCCTAATTACATCGAAGATTACAGTCGAAATAATCGTTTAATGCATTCGTGCCTATGCATGTCGACAACGTTTGCAGGAGAGCCTACTAGTGCTAATACAGGCATTATTGCAAAATCTCGAAATCGCGTGATACGCACTCGAAGTGCACTCGGTTGCGCTTGAAATATCACGGGATGGTGAATATTGCATGCAGGAAGGATAACGTTGCGCTCGTACCTTGAATGTTAAATTAGAAAATATTCGTTTTCTCCGTTTTGTAAAGTAGCGCTCTTATCCGATTTCTTGATTTTGTGAAACTCTTAAAAGAATTGTAAGAAACTTTAACTAAGAAAATCTAACGATCATTTTTTAATTTACAATTTCATCGAGAACAAACCTTTAATGTAAACAAGAGGAATTACATATATGATATTAATTATTTATAATAAAAAATGAAAAGAAAAATATTCCAACGATTAATTATGTCTTTTATCGATATTCAAATATATGTACGAGATTGCAATCGAGAAAAAATATTTTTATCTACGAATGTTCTATTCTCTTATCTCATCGCTATTGTAAACAACCTGAATATTTTTCTACTCTTGTTTCATTTCAATCATTAATAAAAATTCTTTCATTCCCTTATACCTTGCCTATCGAATAGCTTTTTACATTTTGTATTTTAATTTTAATATCTTTTATGATAAATAAAATTTCTAACAAAAAAAAGAAAAAAAGAAAAGAAAAATCTATCACCTTTAATTTCATTATATCTATAAATCCATCAAAAGAACATCGGCATATAAAAATTCGTATCTAGTTTAACACGATTAAACTATACGGATATGATAATGTATCTATAAAAAAAAAAATAATATAATGATAATATAAAAAAGATCTATAATGTATCTAACATTATATATTCTTTTCAATTATAGGGATTAACGATTAATTTATAACAGAGAAAAAGACGGAAGAAAAAGAAAAATATAAATAGAAATAAGGCACTCTCTGTGGTTGTGAGTGTAAAAAAGAAAAAAGAGAAAGGGAAATAAAAAAAGAAATAGGAGGAAAAGATAGAAAGAAGAGGAAAAAGAGAAAAAAAAGGATAGGAATATATTCGTAACTAGGAACGTGCAACGACTCAGCTACGATCTATTCCTCTTCCAAGCGCAACTCGTATATTTTCCTACACGTATCTCTTTGACCATGACAGTGTATCCTCTCTCTTCTATCTCTACCTTTCTCTCTCTCTCTCTCTCTCTCTCTCTCTCTCTCTCTCTCTCTCTCTCTCTCTCTCTCTCTCTCTCTCTCTCTCACTCTTTCTCATACACATACACACATACACACACTATCTTTATCTCTTTTTCTTTTGAGAACGACAGAGAGAGTATGAAACAGTTAGCGACGGCAGTCCCCAGTGCTCGCTCGGCATAATTCTCCGTTTCAAATGGCGTCGGCTTTAATCGAGCGCCGTGTAATTTACGATTTTCTCTGCATATAGTTTCTAGTCACCCCGTATGACTCGTCCTTCATCGGTCACGGGTCGTCGTTTTAAAGTCATATAAATACATACATATGTATGTATACACTCTCGCGAGTATAGCCTAGCCAACCCGATGTCTCATCGAATTCAGTGATAGTCACATAATTAGGATTAGATGAATGATCTCGACCTTTCCAACGTCGATAATTTATATTATTTATACTAATGAATAATATTTCTGATAAAAACTTTTTCTATCGCCGATAGAATCATTACATTTACAAATTTCAACCTATAATATATAACATATAACTATTTCATCGATAAAGATTCTTTAATTTTATTTTGATTCTTTTAATCGTTAATTACGATCAACTAGAGAATATAAATTTTCATTTATTAAGATATTAAATATATACAATATATCGGATAAAAAGTTTGAGATTATTTTAATTGAAAATGAACTTAAACTGTTCGTCGAATATTGCCATAAAGATCATCGAATTTTAATCGTATAAATAATTTAACGAAAGTTTCCAAATTGTTTCAAACTTTTGAATAGGATTGTTTAACTAACAGAAAGTATATTCGAAGTATATAGTTATCTATTGTGAACATTTCCATTTTTATTATCTCATCGTGCTTAATTGTAAATTAATAATATCATAATATGTATAAAGTGTGTATGTTTCTTATGAATCATTTGAACTTAGGAAGGCGAGATATGGGAGCCATATAAAACAAGAGATAACGAAAGGACGAAATCCTCTTTCTATGTGTATGTATGTGCGTGTGCCGTGCAACCAAGACTAATCAAATTGACCCGTGGCGATGATTAAACAAATTGAAAGGTCTCGGGAATGTCAGAGCAAGACCTTACACTGACCATTGAGAATAACGAAGATCTTCGTATTCTTATGAATTAGAATATTCCAAGTGATTGATAACACAATTCATACGTATCGAAATTTTTAAATATAAAAATTCATCTAATTCCTTATAAGGCTTATGAATAATAACATAAGAGATATTATAAATCAATTATGATAATATTATTGTGAAACATTTACATAATAATTTTTCTAAACGAGATACAAATAATTATTACAAAGAAAAA